CCGCCCGCGGGACCCCCAGCGCCCCGCGGCTCCCGCCCGCCGCGCGGCCCTCCGATCTATCAGGGCCCATTTGCCGCGAGTGATTACCGCTAATCCGATTTCCTGTGAGTCGATTTCCTTGAGATATGGTAAATAGGCCATTACCTGTTATTGACCTTTACTTTATTAAAAAGATTTAAAATTAGCATTTATATATATACGTCCTTCCAAAAAACTTTTTTTAATAAAGAAAAATATTTTTATAATCCAATTGTGCTCGCTTGCTAGGGTTATGGTTCCAAAGTTAATGTTAAATAACGATGATAATCAAGAGTAAATATGATTTTTTTTTTTAATTTATCTAGAGGCCTGACCCTTTGCTGAGCCTCGCTCGGCTGTTTGCTCCGAGCGGCGCCGGGGGCAGCGCTCGGCTCCGGCCTTGGGACAACATCCACATTTTGCAGCCGCCTTCACCTCTTAGGCCTGAGTTAGGCTGAGCAGGAAGAAACATCATCGACATTTGATCATGAAAGCAAAAAGTTTATTCATGTTTGAAACTACATATAACTACCACGAGGAAGACTTCTCAATCCAGGGTGTAATCCAGTTAGAAAGTAACACGAAACGTTTTAATACATTAGAATCACTGCCACAAATTATTTTCATGACTCGATCGGCTTCAGAATCGCATACAATACAAAAGAGAGGAGGGCCCCTGTCCCCAGGGGCGGATACAGTACCCAATGCCGGAATCCGTATGCATTACAAGGAGTTGCCGTTTTTTGCGTGGATTAGTAACAAGATGAAGAACATTCAAAATGTTTCTCAGTATTTACAACAGTTTCACTGTTTTTGCGTTAAACCTAAGACCCAATGTTTCCGCTTTAGCTTCTTTAAAAGTTGCAAACGCAACCCTGATTTCTTTTAAAAGATTACAATGTACATTACATTTCATGGGGGAAACGAAGAGTTAATTACAGGATGCCAAAAGATAAGAAAGAGACAAACTACGGCGTGAGCGAGTATCGTTCAGAGGTAGTAAGTGAGCACTCTACGCTACAGAACATGTCGAAGGTCTATTGGTTCGTATGAGTTCGCATGAGGTAATAAAGCTGTGTTTTGATTGGTGAGATGTATAAATACTCTTTTGCTACACTATGTACAACACTCCGTATAATGGTGCTTTTTTCCTCTTTTTTTCTTTTCGTTTGTGTTTTTGCTGCCGAGAAGACGTGACAGGTCTCGGCAGGCACGCGCAGCACCTAGCTCGTACTGTAAAACCCCGGTCTCGCTGGCGCAGGAACGAGCAGCAAGTGTCTTCGTCTCTTAAGAACGACCTACGTCCGCTGGCGCGATACAGGGTGGAGGCTCAGGGTCCTGGCATTTTTAGCACACAAAAAAATTCAAAAACAAAAAAGAATGCTCCCGGTATTCAATCTAATCTATAAACCAACAGCTCACAACAGAAATGTGGCGAGTAAGGGCTCTTGAACACAAGCGCTGTTAACCAAAGTGACTGCACAGCTCTCTTATTCCGACCCTACGGGAGATATGAAAGGATGAAACGCCCGAAGCCGGCGACTCGAGCGGCCTTCACGCACGGCGGAGGACGGGGCCGGGTGGTCGCTGCGCCTGCTCCTGCCATGAGGTTAAGCTCACACTGTACTTTTACCCTTAAGGCCAAGTCATTGGCAACTGGTAGACCAACATCATTAAAACTGCTGATAATAAATTATGATAAAATAGTTACAGGACTATAAACAATGCTAAATCTTGGCCTAATCGGATAAAGTGCTTTTTAACATTGTGTGTTTTAAGTATAAATACAAATGATTATGATACCTTTAAAAAACAGATTTACCAAGTTTTCTAGTAAGACAAGGTTTTACAGTAAAGCTGTAGGTGGTTGGCTACAAAAAACTCTTTCCTTTTTCTCCTGCTCCTCCGAATGCGCTAATCAAGGCATCTCAGCTCAGGGAAAAAGTGTTGCTAGGAGATTAGTTCGAGGTATCAGAGTGCACGCTCCCCGGCCCTTCTGTCGGGGACGTCACGGAAGATGGAGTGGTCGCGTCCTGCCAGCCTCCGTTCGCCTGCAACGGGAGAAGCACGTCAAGGGGCGCAGTTACGTTTGTCACCCGCGCGCGCCGAGCGCCGCGGCGGGAGGTGCTGCGGGAGGGACGAGAGACGA